CGATAGTCCAGTCGGGGTATTGAGATTCGTTAAGAATGGTCACCTGAATGTCTCCGTAAAACACCGGTTGCGTATCGAACGGCCAGTAGTGGTCGCACTTCTCTCTCGTCTAATTATGTCATTTATCTCAATATATATGTAATTTATTGATCTAATGTAATGTAATTGGATTTGAATGACAGCAACAATACATATGTATTCACGAATGCCTTCTCTGTGTATTGGAAGGCAAAGAGGATTTGATGGACTCTCCGAGGCTTGAAATGCATGACAACCAGGGATACGAAGGTTTGTTCGAAATATTACTGTTTACTACTTTAAATAAATTATACCGAATTCTCCGAATATAACTATCCGGTTATATGTTATCAAATTAGAATAACATGAACATTATATTACTCATAGGATAATATTAGCCCATGTTAAAGTATAGTCATAGTCACAGACTTAAGCTGTAATCCCATGTTAACCCCCATAGAGTGGGGGGAGGGATAGCCGAACGATCCTATAAACCACTTATTCAATGCTGAATTGTGGTTAAAAACTCGAATTTTTGTTTTCCGAAACGCAAACTATTTTCATCGACCCATACCTTTCACTGCACCCAACACTACAACACTACTCGAACTTTTTACCAAAATATAGATAATTTATATAAATATTTTTGATCAAAACATAATAATTTATTATTTGATATTTTTATAATTATAAATTGTAGTTTTAATTTTAAGTGCTACAATTATTTTTAATAAAATGATGCACAAAATTGTCAATAAAAACAAAATCCTCTATAACTCGAACGTTTTTTTTGTAAATAATTCAATATTTTTCCATAACTCGAACTTTCTATAACTCGAAAACCTCTATAACTTGAACATACATTTGTGTCCCGACCAGATCGAGATCGGGAGGTTTAACTATACCGGCATAAAGATATTAATATTGTAATACTTTATTATATTAATTATAATGATATAAATTTTGTTTAAAAATTGGAACAAGTATATTTTGAGCACTTTTTAGTGTCAACGTACTGACCGGGAAGTTATATTTGGGAATTCGGTACTAAATATTGCAATTTGTGATTACATTTACAGAAAGCGCCCAAAAATTGATAACTAATCAAACTATTTAAAGACTTGCAAATGATTTGCAAATAATATATTGAATATAATTCTCAATTCTAGTCATTGATTAAGTGCTTCATTGAAAATAAAGCCAATCTCTGAAACAGTACTTACAATCTTTAGATTTGTATAAATCTGTAATTATTTATTAAAATATGATTTCAATGAAATGAACCGAAAGAACAAAAAGGAATCCAATAATAGGACCGAAGAAAGCGTCAAAATATTGGGCCAAATGTTAATTCAAGTATATATTGAATTTGACAATAGCTTTAGTAATGCCTTTAATTGTATGCTTTTGTGTTTATAATTTGCACATTAAATGCACAAATTTTGTATTTGACTTTAGCTTCAATTTTTGTAAACATTTCTTACGTTAACTCTATTTGACTGAAGATTTAGATAATTTTAATGTAAAAAACATAAACAGTTTAAAAGTGAAATATAATTGAATTAATTGTTTGCTTTTAGATGACGAAGGAATCGCTGAATCGGGAATTTAACGAATCTCTCATTTAAAACGATTTGTAAATTATTAAAAATTAATTTGTAATTATTTTTTACTTAAATGGACGCAACTATTTGTTACAATTCATTCATTCATTGCTTCCTAATTAGAATTAATACATTTTAATCGAATTTTATTTACAAATATTTTATATTAATTTTTATATCTTTTAATATAATATAAATGAAACAAATATTTTACACTAATTGCTAATCAATGAACTGAAGCTTAACTTAAAAACTTATTTTGTTATACATTTAGTAATATATTATTTATTCAATTGTTGTGTTAATTAATATAAATTATTATAGAAATTAATGCCAAATATATAGAAAACATTTATCATTGAAATGTTGGCTCAAAAACATTTTGATATAAATTATGAATTAAAACTAATTTGTAACTAATATTACAATCAATTATATTAATCATTGATTCAGTACTTATATATTTAATATTTATAAATAAGTATTTTAATGTTATTTACATTCCTGTTGTAAATCTGTTTAATATTAAGTATTGAAGCGTTGATTATAAACGAAACTTCTGAACAAAACTTGGATTCAAATCTCAAACTGTTTTACAAAATAAATGTATTATTTTTAATAATAAAATATTTTATATAAAATTAAATATTGAATAAATTTGTAATGGAATAAAATTAACATAATATTAATAAAAGCAAATATTAAAATATGCCTGCGATAGAGAGATGGTGGTTTTATAATGAACTGGTTATATTGAATCACCAAGTTAAATTTTGAGCTATTAATAATAGTAATTCAAAATAATCGTTATTAATTATGAAACAGCGTTTCCCCTAAAAGTTATACAGTACTTGTAAATTACAATATTACCGGTAATAGTATCAAGCAATTTTTTATGCTGGACTTTTTGAAAATATGACACATGTATTATTGTGTTACATAACATTTTTAATATTGTAATATTGTGATGTTTTCAACAGTATAGTATACCATAAAGGTAAAGTAAAGTTAAGTAAATAATAAAAGTAAAGTTTTAAAAGTTTTTAACATTAATTTTATTACTGGACGTAATTTGTGTTGATTTATAGCCTATATTATTGACAGTATTGTAAGCGTTGCGTAAATAAAGTGAGAAAATGCTTAGAATTGAAACATTTGTGGAAATTTGCAATACTTTAGAAGTGCTGTAATATTGAGAGAATTTGAGTCAATCTTTGCTCATATATTGAGACAAACATTGAATTTGTTGAGCATTTCGTCAGACATTGGAATCCAAAGCGAAAACAAACGAAAAACTCAATTATCTTTCACTCAACACATAAACCATGTCTTTGAGGGATCTGTTGGACGCACTGTTCGGCCATTCAGTGATCATCGATGACTCGTTTGACACGCATTCACACCATAACCGCAATCGAGACAACGATCACCACAACAGCAACGACAACCCCTTCGGCGGACCACTGGATCCGTTCGGACAACAAATGGACGAAATGTCTTCGTTTATGACACAAATGTTGAGTCGTTTCGCAGTCGTCGGCAATGAATCCAATGAATGGCAAACTATTGGTAACGATTCCAAGAGTGCCAGAGATCTGGTCATGAAGTCGAGTCCAGACACGGCTCGAGTGGACACAGATTTGGATCAAAGTGTGTCTCGAAATGGTTTGGATGTGATCTCATCGGAGAGACCGCAATACGAGTCACGAGATGTGATCCAAACGCCTCTTCAGCCCAACTCTTTCAGAAGAATCTATTTTTATAGTTCTGTTAATAATAACGGAGTAATTGTTTTGATATTACATCCAATGAATGGTTCATTCAATTAATGTATGATTTGTTTGAATGTTTAGCGAATCGAAGAGCAGAAGAGATCCGAAGATGAGTTCGGGAACAGCGAAACGACAATCACTCGAAGAATTGGCGATCAGTTGATCACTGAAGTGATCAAAAGGGATAACAAGAACCAAATCGTCGAAACTAATGAAGTGATCAACAATTTAGACAATGGTTTTTGTTCTTTGATTTTATTTTCGATTCATTTCATTAATACATTTCAATGTATTTACAGGTGTTTTGAATGAATTGAAAGACCAGTTCAGACCAACCGAGAGGAATGAAGTGACGATTGAGCCGTTGGAGGGCTTCACACCTCCGAACTCCTTCTTCAGACGTCTCTTTGAGTTTCCCTTCAAATTATACTAAATTCTAATTACAGTTCTTCTCATTTCAATATTTCTTAATTATTTCATTTTCGTTGAGTTTAGCATATTTTTAGGATATATTCTTTGAAATATTCTTTGAAATTCTGTGTTAATATAAAATTGTTAATAAAAATAAATATATATTTAGTTCTGTATTTAAAAATTACAAATAAAATTTTTTCATCGTTTGTTAAAACATTGTATTCTTTAAATCAATTATAGCCGTGAGTAAAGTCTTAAGACTGACCGGTAATCAATACCGAGTGTCAATTGAATGCTATATTTTGCGCAACTTTATTAACATCGAGATGACTATCGTTGACAACACCTCCTAACCCGTGCCCCGCATTACCTCTTATGGGAGGTTTAGTTGGAAAATAAAATTTCATTCAAAAATCAAAAGTGATGTGAAGTGAAAGTTGTGAAAGTTGTGAAAGTTTTTAGTAATGCTGGGAATCAGCTGTTGTTAGGCTGACTGTATTGTAATGAATGTGCAATTGATGTGCAATGGATGCCACGCTGGAGGAGGTCTACAGTGTCTACACTACTCTATACAGTGTCTACACAACAGTCTATTAGACAACACATCACTAAAATAAACACTCAAATCAATGATTCAATCATTCAGTCATTCAGTCCTCTCTCTCACCACTAATTGAATATGAAATTCAAACAAATCCAGAGGAATGGACTCTTCAGTTGGTCTCCAAACAGACACGAGACCAGTGTTGCCATCGGAACCACATCTCAACAATTTGACGCCAACTTCAGGTACTTTTTAGCACTGAATCTGATTTCTATGCTCTCATCACTTGAAATGTCCGTATTTTGACCGCAAAACACCACAAAACACCTCATTTCACACTTTACTCATCAAATCTTTTCATTAAATCCACTCTTTATTTATTAATTAATTTATATTTAAAAATGATATTAATTGTGAGTTTTGATGGATTGTCAGCAATGATAGCAAACTAGAAATCTTTGATCTGAATGTCGAGGAATGCAATGAAGACGTCCGACTCAAGGCATCCAAAGTAGTGAACAATGCATTCAATTGTATTCAATGGCATCCAAACGCTGTGATCGGCGGCACTCAAGTCAAGACTTTGCAGGTATTGTCAAATGAAGTGACTTTTCAATCATTTGCTCAAACAGTGATTGTGTTGACAGTTCTTTGACGTGACCGCCGATGACATCGAACTAAGACATGAAACGGAAGCGCAAACATCGGGTCTGAGTTGTATCGCATTGAATACAAAGGAATTGCAGTTATTAGCGATCGGTTGCGCCGACGGTTCGGTTGGCGTTTGGGATATCGACGGCAAAGGAAAGTCTGAAAGGAGTCTAAACCTAACCATAAGTGGAATAAACGACTCGATAAATGCGGTCAAATGGAACCGTCAGGTGAGCTCCATATTGGCGGCCGCGTCCAACTCGAATGTTCACGTGTGGGACACTCGCAAACCCGTCAATAGCGGACCAATAGTGCGCGTCCAGGACAACAACGCGGCCTCTCTTTGGGGAAGCGGTCAGCAGTCGCTTATGATTTCTCGATCGCTGGTGTGGTCGGAGTCCAACGCAACCACTCTTATTATTGCCAACTCTAACGACTCTAACCCTATCCTCCAATTATGGGACTTGAGATACGCCACGTGTCCTCTCAATTACTTTAAAGGTAAGTGTCTTTGATATACTAGTCTTGATTTAGTGTTGACTGACATTGAATGTTAACCGTCGGGAACAGGCGGTCACTCCAGAGGAATACAAAGCATTTCTTGGAATAAATATGACGAACAGTTGCTATTGTCTGCCGGAAAAGACAATGCGGTCTGTCTTTGGGATCCTTCGGCGGCTGTAAATGAAGAGTCACTTCAGGCTATAATTCCCTATATTACCAATCAATGGATTAATGAAATTGAATGGTGTGAATGGGAACCGTCTCTGTTTGCGGTCAACTCCTTCGACGGCAACACAACAATCTATAACATAACGCAAACTAATTCTCTCAATCAGACAAACACTAAGGTTTTGAATCAAAACTTTTGATGATTTAACTTTATTTTAGTTCATAAAAATATAACTTAACATAAATTTGTGCTTTAGATCTTAGAATCGTTTGATTTGAGTTCACAAAATGTAAGACCGGATCAAATGCAGACATCGGCTCAGAGACAGCCTATTCTGACGAGAGCTCCAAAATGGTTGCGAATACCATGTCGTCCATCATTTGG